GAATCACCTTTTGCATTAACCCAGTAAAGCCAAAAATTAGATTAATGCTAATGATATTGAAAAATCAGTAAAAAAGAATCGTGAAAAACATCTAAAATCCAGACTTTAGCCACATCACACGAAAAACGCGTTGCGTTAACTATCCAAATCCAAAAAGTTCACATCAAGAAAGTTCCAAAACAAAACTCCTTTAGAAATACTAAAGCTTATTTAAAAAAATAAATCTTCAACACTTAGAGCAAACACACTAAAAGAATTTTAAATGCAAAAACTGTCAATTGATATTTGCAGGTAAAGATTTCAGCCAAGTTTCTAAACGAAAAAAACATTCCGAAAACTAAACTTGATGCAAAAACAAGCCTTTGTGCAATCACCTTAATTTCCTCAATAACATGTGAAGAATTGAAGAGAAAACTTCATCATATAAAAAAATGCCAAAAATAACTTGCCGGATGATACTGAATTTTCTGATTTGGAACACGTGCTTCTAAATTACTTAAGGGCTGCGGCAGCTGCTGACCCCACATATCCGGTAAAACTTTATCAGGACCATACATTGAACGAGATCCTTGAGAGTACATTGAATATCTAAAATTAATTGAATAGATGTAGAGTACCATTAGTTTCGACGCAGTTAATTAAGCTACAGATTCAAGTTACTTTGTCTATGCAAAGGAGTTTCGTGGAAAAAAATTAGCAATAATTATAGGAAACTTGAAGCAAGGTCACAAAAACAAGCTTTTAACCAGTAAAGATATTTAACAACACCTAACAAACGTACCCTCGTGGTGGCACAGGGGCTCCATTTACAGCAGGAAACATTGAAGAATACGCTGGAGAAACATTTGAAGGCATACTCATCGGGTATGCTTGAGATGAGAAAGAAGACTGCGCAAACTCAAATGGGATATAGCCCTCTGGAGTCATCTGCATGTTATATGGAGGCGGATTTAGCGATGGCCGCATACCCTGTGGCATTGGCATACCAGGAGCACCCATTACGTCCATTACAGGGCCATTTGTAGGTGGAACAGGGGACATCACTTGCGGAGAAATTGGGCCCATAAAAGGTGCTCGTCGAAAGGCAGGATGCATATTGGGTGGCATACCATGCCCTGGTATTTGATATGGTGGTGGACCACTTATCACTCCTTGAGAACCGTAACCTGGTCCCATTTGCTGAGAGTAACCACCAGGCTGCATTTTTATTGCTTCTTGGTCCTGCATCATACGATCCCACTGAACCTGTGAACACTGAGGCTGCGGTAGCCGTGTTTTACTGTTCATTAATTGTTTTTCAAAGTTCTTTAACTTCGCTAATTTCGACTCCCGGTCAGGTTCGTCGTCCTCTCTGTAAAAAAAACAGACAAAAAACCTCTAAATCCCTTTCAAATGGCATTCCAAACTAAAAAAACTGAAATAAAATTGTCTCAGCAAGCAATTCACTATGTGTAGAAATTGTAAATAGAAAAAAGAGGTTTAATAACAATATAGCTTTTGCAACAATTTTAGCAAATCTAGAAATATAAATGAAATTCTTCTTTAATGCTAACGTCTTCCTCGCGGAGGGGTCATTTTCACTACTAGCCCCACGTGAAGTTTTAAGAGGAGGAGGTTCAAATGAAGAATCCCTGGCCATTCTTTCCATACGTCTAAAAAAAAAAGAGATACAAAAAAAGAAGACCGTCAAACATTATTCGTTTACCAGACAACGCACATTAAAAAACTTAAACAGTGATATCCCAAAAAAAAATTGATTCTTGTTGACTGTCAAAAATAAGACTACTTTATCACTTTTAGCAAAAAAAAAAAAATCAATTTGCGCAAACATTCATCACGGCCGTTTTGATGTTGCAAAAGCTTTAGTAAGGAGCTCAAAGAAAATTTAATTAGTGCTCATACACACTATGCGATAAAAATATGCAGTAAACGATAAGTCCTACTCTCTTTCAAGAGTAAACTGTTTGCAAAACAAAACGATTTCATTAGTAAAAACAGATCTCACCGTAACGGATTATCAGAAGCTGCAGTTGTTTCAGCATCTTCGTTTACAAGCATTTCAGAGGATGATGAAACTACAGGAACCGCCATATGCTCACCACCTAACACTCTGTTACCGCTTTCAGACGTCTGCTTTTTCACCTTCGGAGATTCTCCGGCAGTGGAATGAACAGCACCATCAGGAGTCCTTCCCACATTATCCTAAGTAAACTTTCTGTGCAATACACGATTGAAAAAGCTTGAAAGTACGAATTCAAAGAAAAGTAAAGATATCATGTAATAAATAAATAATATATCTTCAGTATTCTCACGTTCTTATAGTTGACAATACTCAAATATTTTCTTAATTATTTACTGACAAAATGCTCTAAAGCTTTTCGCAGAATAAACACTGCTTCTTGAACAAAGTGGAGAGAATATTCCAATAAAAAATAAGAATGAGCCTTTTACACAACAGAAGACTTCTCAAATTTAATTAGCCTCCATAAAAAATCCATATCTTTACCCAGAAATAACCTCATAAAATCAATCACAACTTTTCACATTATTACTTAGCACTTTTAAGACTTTTGACTGTATTTACTAATAATATTATGCTTCTATTCTGTATGCAATCCGTACAACTTGAATACCAGTTTTTCAGAAATTAAACTGGAGAACAGCAAAGTCAAGCAAACAGGAGAATTTGTGAATTAGTGAACGTTACGACTGTGAATAAAAAATAAAAAATGAAAAGAAATATGCTCAAATTCAAAAGTCCGAATAGAGTAGCAGGAGGAGAAAATAATGAGAATAAAATTGATAAAACTGTTTCCCACTAAATAAGAAGTCGTTTTTTGGTCAGAAGTAAATCTTCCCTGTTAAATCCCAACCTAACAAGAAGAATTTTTTTT